AGCAGCTGGTGAATTTGAACCACCGGACTTGCAGTTCAAACCAATCTTGCAACCCAGTGCATTATCCCATAGTGCCGCACAAGGACTTTTCTTCCTAGTAAACACCAGTAATAATCCCGTGTCCTTTAAGAAAATCTATCAAAATTACTGGTATGGTGCTATGGGATAAAGCACTGGACCATAAGGTCAGTTTGATTCCAAACTTTGGTGGTTCAAATTCACCAGCTGCTCCCAGAAAAGTTGATATCATGACAGCGTCGCTATGACTTGGAACCTGCTCACTGGCACTTAACAACATAGAAATTACATTATTCGGAATTCCAAAAAAAAAAATAGTCACCATAACCTTCTAAACTGACTGCTCTACCTTGAATTTAAATGACCCAATAGATTTTCTCATAAGTCATTGTTTTGATTTGACAGGGTGGTTGTTTTTTTTTTGAAGGCACCCCATGGAGACTAAGATGGTATATTTGAGAGATCATCTATGCAACTATCCACCAATCGCAGAAACATGTTTAAACCCATTTGGTTTGCAATAAGTCCAAGTATGTGTGAACTGGAACATTAGTAGCAATGCGTATGACTTAACTGCATTCATAAGACATTTGTAAATTTGATCCCTGAACATGAACACAATGTATTTAGTTGCAGCTTCAGAACTGAAGTAGTTTTCTAGAGAGATGGCACTTTATGAAAAATGTAAAACCTGAAATCATGACAGACAACATGAGATCTGCCATTATTTACAATATTCATTATAATATTTTATAGGTGCTGAAGGTCAAGTATACATGAAAACACTATGTTTCATTTCAAGTTGACCACTATGAAAAAGAGAACCATATTTCTCCTATGTACTCTCAGAAAACAGATTACTATGAGTAAAAATTGACTTCAGAATCTTCAGAAGCATTGAAAGCACTCAAGGAAAAGATGGCAAACAATCTAGCAGGAACAAGGCTTTCCTGTTGATGACTAGGTTCTAATTAGAGTTAACCTGATCTTAGAAATATTGGCCAATCATTTTCAGTTACAAAAAGAAATCTCAACACAAATATTTAAAATCTCATACATTATTCTCTTAATAGTTACTGAAATGGATCTTTGAAATATAAGATTCCATACTGGGTGTTAGAAGCTATGGCATTAGTCCTTGAGAAGCCCATTACTAACAGTAGAAAATTTAAGGCACATATTTCAATAACTACAGTATAATAGTATAAGAACAGAAGTACAAAGTAAGATGGCTATAAAGCTGTATGAAATGCTTAGCTTGGGGAAGAGCTAAATTCTGCCTGGTGGAGTCAAACTAGGTTTCTTACTTGTGACAGAACTAGGTAGCTCTTACGAGATAAGAAGTGATAAACATTTGAGTCTTGCTACCAGATTTTTAATTATTATTATTATCATTAAACTGTCACTTTAAATCTTAAGACATTAAGTGAGAATATGTATAAACTGTTCTGAAAAGTTCTCTTTATAGAAACCTACTTTCAGTGAACCTAGTCTTTAAATGTTGGTATTTGTAAAAATTTACTCTTAGAACTTCTTTAAGTGTTTTATATCATATCCCAAAGTGATATGATTCAGAATCTAACTTCCTGGTACATATGTGGAAATCACTCCACAATAACAAATCCATAAAAGTCAACCTCAGACTTCTTTTCTGAGCTGTAGGCTCCATATACTGTCACACAAGAACATCAAAGTCAAGAGTTTCTCTATTTGATTCTTTGCTAACATCCTTGCCAAGAAGCCTAGTATATGGCTTGTTAATTTGATAACTGAAAATTGTCTGTTCAGATTTGTTGTCAACTTTTCCATAGGATAATCTGTTACTTTCCAATCTTTATAAGAATTTTGTTAGTGCTGACTTAATGAAGCGTATCGCCCACCATACCATAAAATGTATCAGGACAGAAATTATTGCTTGTTCTTCTTTATGAGCCTGACAACAAATCACAATACTAACACAAAGTAATATTATATATAAAATCTATAAATAATTGCAAGATTATGTAATGTATCAAAGGAGACATTAAGTGTTCTGATTCTCTTGTAACATGCTCTAAATAAAATTCTAAAGCGGGGCTTAGTCAAATTTCCAATTTCATTAGAATAAATGTTCCACTTCCAATGATACTAAAATATAAAAAGACAAAATCAACGTAAAAAATGTTGCAATGGGATTTTAACATTTGCTCATTATAATGTATGTATTTATTCACACATCCATTTCAAAATATTAAGTTCCTAATACTCATCACACAGTCTTTTAAACTAAATATGGAAAAAGATTCTGTACCTATACAGATCTCAACTTAAAGTATATGCTGAATTTTGATTGGGTACATAGGAAAACACAGAATAGACTGGGAATAATTGACTTTTCTTCATTTTTAAGTCATCCAGTCTATAAGGAGCTCTGGTAGCGTAGTGGTTACGAATCGGGCTGCGAACCTTAAGGTCAGCGGTTCGAAACTACCAGCTGCACCGCGGGAGAAAGATGAGGCTTTGTACTCCCGTAAAGATTTACACCCTCGGAAACTCTATACAGGGTCGCTATGGGTCGGAACCAACTCGATGGCACATAACAACAACAACAACAACAGTCTATAAATATAACATATTTCTCCATTTTTAAAGTCCTACCTCAAAAACGTTTTTAATTTTCAATACACACATTTTATATATGTCATAATACATTTATTGTTGTTGTTAAGTGTTGTCTAGTTGGTTTCGACCCACAGTGACACTGTATACAGTTTCCGAGGAGTGCCTGGTGAGCTTGAACTGCTAACCTGGAAGTTCAAACCAACTCTGCAGTGCAGCACCTCACCAGGACTCTGTAATAGATTTACACCTAGGCTAGTTAATGTTTGAATTTACCAACTTTATCGTTCATTAGAGAAATATATACTAAGATCAAAGTGAAATACTACTATATGCCAATATAATGATGAAAATAGAAGGGGAAAAAAAGGTCAACAGCAACTATTGGTGAGGTTGTGGAGGAACACTAACTCTTACAACCAGTGAAAGAAGAATTATAAACTAGTAAAATAATTGTTTATATACTACTTTGTAGAAACAGTCTTGGTGTGACACTGTAGGATAAGCACTGGACTGTAAGGTTGGTTTGAACCATGAGATTGGCATTTCAAACTCACCAGGCACTCCTTGGAAACTCTATTCAGGGTTGCTATGAATTAGAACCCACTCGACGGCACTTATCAACATTTTTTAGAATGTACCAAAGTTGAACATGAAAATTCTATAGCCTGGCAATCCCAGTTCTAAGTGTGCATGTTAAGGGGAAGTGTAGAAATAAATATAAGGCAGGTATGTCTAATGCTATTCATAGCAACACAATTGATAATAGAGAGTAACAGGAAACAATTCAAATGTCCATCAACAAAAAAAGTCATAAACATTGTTTGGCATATTTGTACAGGCATTACTTTATAACAACGAGAATGAGCAAAGTTAGGTTACACCAACATGGATGAATATCACAAATGTAATGTTGAGGGAAAGAAGCTACAAACAGGAAAGTATATAATATATATTTTCATTTGCATGAAGGAGAGGAGAGCAAAACTCTTCAATACTTTGTAGTCAGAATAGTTACTTTTAAAGGGAATTAAAAGCTGGAAGGAGCCTGAGCTAGGAATTATACAGTACTTATCACAGCACAAATTATCCATGTTCCTTCAATTCTCAATTCGCCATTCACCAGGATAACTTCCTATTTTTAGCACCTAAGACATCTCTCCAAGTATTTCTACACCAAAGCAGCATGCTTAAGTATGCTGACGAGTAAGGATGCTGTTGTTGTTGTTGTCAAGTACTGTCATGTCAGTTCGGACTCATGACAACCTTTTATAGGGTTTCCAAGTAGCAGCTGGTGAATTTGAACTGCTGATTTTGCAGTCCAGTGAATTATTCAACATTGCCACACCAGAACTCCATAAGGACATTGTTGTTGTTGTCGTTTTTAAGTGCTGTCAAGTCAATTCTGGCCCATAGTGACTATGTATAGGGTTTCCATGGAACAGCTAGTGAGCTTGAACTGCCTACCTTGCAATTCAAACTGACTTTGAAGTCCACTGCATTAACCCACAATGCCACCCGGACGCCATACAAGTATCAATTAATTTTGTTTATTACTCACTTCCGACCAGTGTGCCTGGTCAATCTAACCATCAGCTTGCGAGCCTCTTCTGAGCTAGACTGAGTGCTCTTAACAAATGAAATCGGCTTCTCAAGTCCATGTTTCTCCAAAATTTCTGACACGCTGCAAGTGAAAGACAAATATTTAAAATTTTGCTACAAGACAAAAAACATACAAAGGTGTTACAGAGAAAGGAAAAATAAGCACCAAGTGTGACCTAATTTTATGAATTAGATGAATTCTCAAAAAGAAGTTAATGAGTATAGATTTTATCTTACTTCCCTATTGACTTTTATTACTATATAGGCAAAGTATAGACAAAAAAAGCATAACATATCCCTATCTAAAATCTTTTAAAATTATTATTATTTCTATCTAGTATAAAAACAAGCCAGCAAAATAAGCCAAGTCTAAAGAGAGCTCTGGCAGCGTAGTGGTTATGAATCAGACTGCGAACCTTAAGGTCAGCGGTTCGAAACTACCAGCTGCTCCGCGGGAGAATGATGAGGCTTTCTACTCCTGTAAAGATTTACAGCCTCGGAAACCCTGTACAAGGGTCGCTATGGGTCGGAACCGACTCGATGGCACTTAACAACAACAACATTATTTCAATAACCCATTTTTAATTCTTAACAACACTAATGAATATGCAAAATTCTAGGAAGCCTATTTAAGAACAGAAGTTTAGTGTTACAGTACACTAGAAAGATTATCAGGCATAACTTTTCTGCAGAATTCATCTATAAAAACACAACATATATCAAAATTGTCTAATATCACATAAATCTTCTTGCTCCATAGTTATTAGTATTATACATCCAATGGAGTCCTGGTGTAGTGCTGCAGCATAGGCACTGGACGGCAAGCCACAAGGTCGGTGGCTCAAACCCACCTGCAGCTCCTAGGAAGCCTTATATACAGTAGCTTAGAGTTGAAACGGGCTCAACAGCACTTAACAACAACAATCAATCTTGCCAAGTCTCCTGTTTTGAATTAAGTACTATTAGGCTTTAAAGTGGCAAAAGCAGTGGCTCTGTAGAATAGATAATAACTGGACTGTGAACCACAAGATTGGCAGTTCAAGCCCACCAGCCACTGCTAGGGAGAAAGATGAGATTTACCTGCTCTCACAAAGACTTACAACTTTAGAAACCCTATATAGGGTCCTTATGAATCGGAAATGACTCAAAGGCACTTAACAACAACAAAGCCTTTAGAGTGGTTTGTGGAAATTCTATACTACTTAATGAAGACTTTGTGAGTCATGTTACTTGAAATTATGTTTGTTAAAATATCAACTATCAGTGGCTGTGAAGTGGAAAAGGAATAAAAAAATTCTTATTATAAAATAAGAAAATTAAGCAGAACAATAAACCACCTGAGTATCATCCAGAAGCCTAAAGAATGGTCCAGTTTTCTTATGGCGTTAATAACATCTTTGGTTAAAACCAAAAATGTAGTGAAATAAATTTTGCTTATTTTACTCTCTTTGAGATGTCTCTTCTCAGTTTCCTTAGAGAAAATGGGGTAACTATGAAATTCTTAAGGAGTAAATTGATACTGACTCCTTAAACAACCTTTAATCAAACCATACTGAATTCTTCAAGGAAATTGGAGGAAGAGAGGCAGAATCCAACTACATAATCTGTAATAAGAAATAGTCTCATTTATTCAATATTTTCTAAAAAATAACAGTGTATCACTTTTAGAACACAGAATAACAAGATTTAGGCTAAGTAATAAGAAACAGAAGTCCTTAGGAAACTAAACAGTAAATTCTTCATCATACTTATATAATTAAAGTACACAAACACATTCTGTTTCCATTACGACAATGTGATGCATTTTAATACTAAAATCCCTTATTCTGAATGAACCAAATTACTAATTAATGGATTCCAAATTATTATGTTTTAATATACATACTTACCATTACCACAGTGATGCTATAACCTACCATTTCCATAATATATTTGAAAAACAAAGTCAGTATTCTCAAAAAACACAAACATTAATGCAAGTATTTTAAAATTACATAAACTCATAGAAAAATAAATACTAGTAAACAATATTAGACTTACTAAATGGCAAATCAGGAAATGTTTTAACTCCCATAGAGACAAGTTTGATGTTTCACTATGATATCAAAGAATATTATTACAGAGCTAAGTGAAGGCTCTAGTGCAGTATGATACAATCTAGACAATTAAACATATTGTGGCCAGAAAAGGAAACTTAGAAATATAACAGTATTTTCTAACAGATTCCATAATTGCTATGGTGGTGGTAGTAAGTCAGTTCCGACTCATAATGATCCTGCATAGTGTTTCTGAGGCTATAAATCTTTACGGGAGCAAAAAGCCTCATCTTTCTCTTGTGGAATGGCTGGTAGTTTCTATCTGTTGACCTTGAGGTTAGCAGCAGGACTCATACACACTATGCTACCAGAGCATGTCTCATATGTGTGAAGCACATTAAAATGCTCGGCTTAATATTAATCTCATGAATTATGTATTATAGATAAAATAACGTTGGGCTCAAAGATTACACAGATAGTAAGTGATAACACCTAGATTTGAACCGAGCTCTAAAAGATTTCAAGGCCCATGTTATGATTTTGCCATTTTTCCATAATGAGCTAAGGAATCCTAGAGGTGCTGTGGGTGAAATATGAGTCTGCTAACTGCAAAGTCAGCAGTTCAAACCATCTAGCCACTCCACATAAGAAAACTGAGGTTGTGTGTTTGTAGGATCAGCACCAAACTGAGTACAAGGTCGGCAGTTCAAACCCACCATCTACTCCTTGGAAACCACATACAGGGTCATGATGAGTGGGAATCACCTTGACATCACTTAAGGACAATACTCCCATAAAGATTTACATGCTCAGAAACCATATTTGGGGTCACTATGAATCAGAATCAACTCAATAGCAGTCAGTCTGATTTGGGTTTTATAACAAATTAATAGTCCATTTGTTACTGAGAAAATTCATGCACAAGTGCAAGTAAAGCAGAGGGACTTTGGGAAGGAAGCTTGATTGCAAAGTGCAGTATCTCAAGGCACTTAATTGGGGAAGCGAGGTTTGCTGACCCAGGGAGCTAGAGCCAAGTGCCTTCATGCTGAGGCTTGTGGTTGAGTGGTATGTCCTATGGGCATTTCTCAGCAGCCCTAAAAGAGCTTTCTAACACTACACAGGTAGAGAAAAACCCGGCTCTGAGCATGGTTTAGGAGAGGAAGTTAGACTGAAACAACTGTACCCTGAGCATTTTCTAATCCTTCTTTGAAACCTGCTAATCTCTCTAATACATCCCATAATTGTGAGCATGGTGTCTGAGTTCTGTGTGGTCACTGAAATGAATTATTTAATCTAGCTGAGGAGTAAAGAGAGTTCTGAGAGGAATGGTGGGTGTCATTTTTTTTTTTAAGTTTGGTCAGTATAAAGTCAATCTGGAAACAATGACTACTGAGCAGACTTAAAATAACATTTGTGTGACAGACACTTATTCAACAGAAAGGTAAAAACAGGACTTCTCACCTGAGAATTTGTTCCAATTGGTCTACCATGTCATGCAGCGCAGTGGACATATTTGTCTTGTGGCTAAAAGGATTAAAAATTGTATCAAAATTAAAACTTAGTTGTACCTTTTTAAGTAAAACATATAACCTAGTTATTAAATGACAAAAAAAAAAATGTCCTCTATATAATATATAATAACAACCATTGTTGTTGTTGTTATGTGCCGTGGAGTCGGTTCCGACTCATAGCGACCCTGTACAGGGTTTCC